GGTAAATAACAAAAAAATTGGATATGCAGTTGATTTGAAAAGTTGCGTAGATGAGATGAGCTGCTTCTCTTCTTTCCCTTTTGCTTTGTCTAATTTGCGCTCATAGTCGACGATTAAGTCGGGTGACTGAATCGCGCGCTTGGTGCAAATAGAATAGTCCCACATTCGCCATGACTAGGCGTTGATTGTGCTGTTTTCGCCGTGTTTGGGCTAGCTGGTCGAACTTGATCTCAGAAAAAGAGACTTAATCCAATTGTTGCAATTTTCGCGCGCTTCAATCACGGACTATGAACGCGACGTTAAAGGAGCAATGATTTAGAAAGGGCAAACCAACAGCATTTTGCTCATAATGTACTCACCAGTAAAGCACCAATGTACGTGGCATGTGTATTTCTGACTAATATGTATTGAAATCAGCTCATGTTCAGATGAAGGAAATCGATCGTGAATCGAGTAGTCTAATACCGGAAGACATAGACTACAGCAAATTGCAAGGCTTGAGTATAGAATGTTGGGAGAAATTGGACCGTGCACGTCCTCTCAATCTGGCTGCTGCTTCCAGGTAATTTGTCCGTCTCTTTTTCCTATTGCCTAAGTGCGTATCGGACGTTCCTCATGAAGGTGTCAACATTGTATAAAATCTTTCGGAAGATTATTCAGCAAAATGATTAATTTCAGGGTTCCGGGTGTTAAGCCGGAAGCGATCATTGCTATTCTTCGTTACTTAAAGCGCTCAAATACCGTATCTCATTCTGTATAGCCTTACCATGTGCCTATAGACTTTACGGGTATGAATTTCATTTGTTATTCGCTGTTGTTGTTTTTCATGCTGTTATCATAGGTTAGTTGATTTTCAAGAGTGAAATAGAGGCAAGCGAAAAGCTGTTTTAAATCACTTGTTTGTGATGTTTCATTTAATGCAATATGTAAAATATGTTTATTGCATTTCATACATTTTCGATATTTATTACATTTCGCGATTTTTGAACCTCAAATGAAGCATGTCATTTTTCTGTTTTTGGTCATGCTAAGATTTACGATTGATCGATTTTGCCTTTTTTTGAGGTTGCTGAACACCTCACTAAGCATCTTGTTGCACATAGCTGCGTATGGATTGAGGGCGACTACTTGCATCTTGGCGAATGACGAGCCTAGCTCCGCAGCTTTTTGAAAATCGGCCTGTAAATAAAAATTGCACTTTCCTACTTCCGCTGATATCGTTGAATTTCTTACCCTAGCTGAGTCGTCGTCTCCGTGGAGCCTGTGAATCATAGCACGCTGTACGAACGCTTGACATGCGCTTTTTCCTACACCATTGCTCAAAGATATAGCTTGGTTCAGGTCGGCAAGAGCATCTAGAATTATTGATTGTGCTATCTGCGACCATTTTTGCAGATGAGTAATGTTATGCAACTATTTTCACAAGTCATCGCTCACCTTCAGGCTTGCCAATAAGTCGTAGTGCTTGAGCTCGGTTATTGAACGCCGATGGATTAACAGGGCACTTCCGGATGGCTTCGTTGAATTTTTCAATTGCCTTGTGGACGTGGCCGCTTTCAGCGAATTGAACTCCTTCCTTCTCTAATGATCGAGATTCTTCGATGCCATCAGCGGTGATTGGAGCTGTAATGTGCTGGCATAAACGCTCTACAGTAGGTTCAGGTGGCCAATTTACACAGCGATAAGCAATGACCGGTACTGGAAAAGCTCTTCGAAGAGCGCCATGCATTCTACATCTATTGAGAAGGTGACGACATTCGGGTACCATGAACTTACTACCCACTTTTGAAGTTAGGGTCAGGTTCTCGGTTAGGCTAGAAATTCGTTTTCAATGTTGCTTTGTCGTTATCTCTCTCCGTCTAAAGAACTTGGGCCATAAAAATGTCGAAAACTCCAAATTCTGATATGCTGTGAAGATTCACAATTATTGGGTCGTTCGGAAAGTTTCCGCCGATTTTGACTCTCAAATTCAAAAGCGCATATCTCGGTTCAAACAAAGCGCCTTTGCTCGAAATAAAAACTATTACAATCCCCATACTTTGCCTACAAGAAGTGAGTTTGATTGATCCGGATGTTGGAAGTGCTGGAGTTCTGTGAGCTAAGAACTCGGCGAAGGTCGTTTCACCACCATGTTGGGTTTCAATGCTCAATCTCTTCTCAGTAGACCTTCCAGATGGTTGGAAAAGTGATAGTTGGTAGGCAATAGGTTTAGTGTGTAAAATGTTAGCAGCACAATTTCGTAGCTCAGCTAGTTCAACTTTATAGTGCCGAGATGGGTTTGCAGAACAGGGTGGAAGAGCCGGCGGCACCCAATTTTCGACTTCTTTGGGCTTTTTACTCCTCACCGCTATGTGGAAATTTTGGAAATCTTATGTCGGTTACGCCCAATTCAGAAGCAGCCTGTTCAATAGTTTCATGCAGATTTGTTAAGTCAAAACTCTCAGCT